ATTTCGGGGGAAGGGTCCATAGACCCTCGTAATTGGCCCTTTGTTTAGGTGAGGGGGTGTTAGATATTATTTGTTAAATATAACAAATAGTTGTGTGTCTGATTGGTCTAAATGCTACAATATCATCAGATTGACGTTTTTGACATTGTTAAAAAAAAGTCATATTTTGAATGTATTTGTCAGTAAATGAATAGATTTGAACAAAAATAAATAAATAAAGACCATCATGTGATTGACCTAAACGTCAGACTTAAAATTTGTGAATCAACATTTAGCTGACTCCTGACTGCTGTTAGCTTTTGAAGCTTCACATACTTCAGTCTATTGTTTGTTTATTGTTGAAGATCGGATCAAATTTCATGACCAATTTCCTGGAAAATCCAGAGGGTTTACAGACTTTTTCCTGCAACTGTCTTAAATATTGACACAAGACACTGCATTTGACCTATAATTTATTCAGACCTACTTAAGCTTTAATGGTCTGTGTTATTTCATTGACTTGATCTCATGACAGATATTGACCGCATCTTATTAACAGGCGAATTGGAAGAGACCTCAGCAACACTTTTGCCAAATTGGAGAAGCTCACAATCCGTAAGTATCTCATCTCCCTCGCCATCTCACACATGTACCACTGTGGACAGTTTTGACGTGTAACTCAATCTGTTTTCACCTACAGTTGCCAAAAGAAAGTCCCTTTTTGATGACAAAGCAACTGAAATCGATGAACTCACTTACATTGTGAAACAGGTTAGGGTGATTGTTACTTCCCCTTTGCCAATGACACATTATTCGGTCTGCCCATCTCATACTGTAATCTGTTTCATAACTGTCTGTCTGTTCACTCAGGACATTAACAGTCTAAATAAGCAGATAGCTGGCCTGCAGGAAGTCGTTCGATCACGGAGTGGACAGAATGGCAGACATCTTCAGACACATTCCAACACCATCGTAGTCTCATTACAGGTATTAACCTCTGGCCTTAGTGCTCAATCACAAAGTAATGTCTAGTGGACTTGTGCTTGAAATTACACCGTTTTCTGTTTGTAGTCCAAACTGGCTTCGATGTCAAGTGACTTCAAGTCAGTCCTGGAAGTCAGAACAGAGGTAATTGATCTACTTTTTTAGTGTTAGATCCATCATGGTACAATTCTGTTTATGTATATTTTCTCGTGTTTTCTCTCGGTTTAGAACTTAAAACAGCAGAGAAGCAGGCAAGAGCAATTTTCTCAGACTCCTGTCTCATCCTCCTCTTTCCACACCAACAGCTTCAGTAAGAGCATCTCTACTTGTGAAAAAGCACACATTGTCCACCTTTAAACATTTACGTAGTTCTTTTTCCCTTTTGCTTGTCTTTCAACAGACAATTCGGTGCTTATGCAGGACGACTCCAAGAAGACGGATATATCTATAGATATGGACCTCAGCTCCAGTCAGCAGATGCAGTTAATCAATGAACGGGTATTGTTTGTTCACTGGCTGTTTTGTAATGGCACAGCTGCAGGGAAACTGATTCAAGTATGTTTGAATCTCTGTTGTCATGTGTTTGTTTAGGATTCATACATTCAGAACCGTGCAGACACTATGCAGAATATAGAGTCCACCATTGTGGAGCTCGGCTCCATATTTCAGCAGCTGGCTCATATGGTGAAAGAACAGGAAGAGACCGTACAGAGGTGAGGAACAAACTTCATGTCTGGAGGATCTTATTTGAGAGAAACTCTTAAGTGAAACTGAAACTGAAAAATAAATTAAGGGCTAAATAGAAATTAAAAAAAACAAAAACTAATGACGAAGCACATAATGGAATTACTGAAACAAACTAAAATCAAAATGAAATCTGAAAATATAAAAATAAAAGCTAATTCAAAATATTCATGAATAATAAATACTAGAGAATAAATAATACTAAAATAACTCTGATCTATACCCAGAAATGTAGGTCAAATTCAAACACCAGTCTTTATTTATTTATTTATTTATTTATTTTTGTTCCAATTTCTGTGTCTAATCAATAAGCAAATGTGTTTTTCCCCCATTTGCTTCCATTTGTGGTTTGGTCATCACTGTCTGTGACCATAATGAAAAGCTCTCTGCCATTGTAATCGGCTCTTTTACTGCCACAGTAACAGTTAGCGAGCAGTTCCTTCAGTAGTAAATGGAACCAGTTTCATAAAAAAAAAATATATATATTTTTTTTTCAATTGATTTGGTAGAATAATGGTTTGAGTTGCTTTGAATAGGCCAGCATCTTGACTCCAGTTAAACATCTTCACACATACACTACTACCATTTAAAAGTTTGGGGTCAGCAAGACTTTTTTTTAATTAATTAATACTTTTATTTTACAGCAATGCAATAGTTTTCTCAAAAGATTTCTGTTTCAAATAAATACTTTTCTTATTAATTTTATCAAAGAATACTGAAAAAAGTATCACGGTTTCCACAAAAATAGCAAAAATAACAGCAAAAGTGTTTTCAACATTGATAATAATAAGAAATGTTTCTTGAGCATCAAATCAGCATATTAAGAATGATTTCTGAAAGATCATGTGATGCTAAGCATTGGAGTAATGACTGCTGAAAATTCAGAGCATAAGATTGAAAACAAAATACATCTAACAGACCCCAAACTTTTAAAGGGTAGTGTTATTTACACTATGTATGAACAAACAGTAATTCCTTCCATTGAACTTCCCTCTTCCCTGACAGAATTGATGCTAATGTAGAGGACACTCAGCTGAACGTGGAGCTAGCGCACTCAGAGATACTCAAATATTTCCAGTCTGTGTCCAACAACCGCTGGCTGCTCATCAAGATGTTCCTAATCCTCATCATTTTTTTCATTGTCTTTGTGGTTTTCATGACCTGACGTCCACTCTTGAGAGGGGCAGATTTAAAAGGAATGAGAGGGGCTGTTCTCTCAGTCTTCTTTTTTCTCTTCTCTGCTCACTGGCCGGTGAGCTCTGTTTTAGTGATCGTTTTCCTCAAAATAGATGGCATTTAATATTTATAAGCCTCAATTCAATATAGGCAGAGCATTTGTCAGTTTGTAGTCGATTTACAACAGTTTGTCCATTTAAATTTCAATCTGATATGTTTCTGTATCTGTAGAGCAAACTCTTGGAAATGATTGTCCATAATTAGCTTTTCTAAATCACACAGATTGCAGAGATATCCTTAAGTAAAGCCAGCAATCGTCTCATGGATAAAGAACCACCATTTTAACAAATTCTGGGTGACTTTTGATTGGTATTAATCATAATACACCCCTTTAGTCATCATGTGTTCTGAGACCTTTTTATGCATTTGCATTTTTTCTCTCTGTTGTCTAAATATTATTTTAGAGAAGACTTTATGCAGGGATTTGTAACAGAATCCCTCTTATATTCTGCCTGCTGCAGTAGACCACCAAGCCATCTCAAATGACAGTAATGCTTCTACACGTTTATGGTGACTGACTAGAGGTTTTTAATGTGTATTCTTTCTAGTTTGGATTTTGGAATCGATTACCACTTTTGCACAACTTGTGAATACAGCTAGTTCAGCAGGTGAGAAATCCGTATTTGGAGCTAGTGAAATTTTCCAACTTTTGGCCATGAATCATGAAAGTTAAACAATTCAGACAGGATTTATTTTTAATTTCATTGGGTGTTTTAATCATCCTTCGTAAGCTTGTTTGTACACTGCGGTTCAGCTTGTCAGTATTTCTCTGTGTACGGTCTCAGGGGGTCCATGAGAATACTGCTTTCCAGATCTCAACGTAAATGGTGTTTTTTAGAGAATACACTCATTTGTGTTTAACTGGACTTTGAGATTGGGGGAAAGTCCCACCCCACCATTTGTGAAATGCATACTGTAAAATGAAAGAACTGAAAAAAAAAAAATGGAAATAGAAAATGTATGTTTTGTTGTAATGTCTGTTGCCGTTTTTCTTTTTTACAGTAGCATATGTAGTTACTGATTCATTAAAGTTCATGAGAGAATGAAGTTAATTTTGAAATAAATGAAAAGTGACATTTTAAAACTCTTTAATTCTTGCATTTGATAAATATGCCACATTTGAAGGAAGAGAAGAGTAGAAAAGGTTCATGATGATGAATCAGCAAGATCTTTATTAGCATCTAAGGTTCCATGAAGAACCTTTAATATCAATGGAACCTTTCCACACTCAATAAAAAGCTACAAAACTTTTACTGGGGCAGTACCCTTTCAAAAGGTACTAATATGTATCGTGTAGCTTAGGATACCAGCTTTGTACTTGTTTTTACCAGTTTGTACCTGGAGTTTCCTACTCCAAACATAGCTTGTTCAGGTCGGCGCGCTTTCTTCCACTACACTGATATCAGGCATGCTCCTGATCCTCCCGTTTCTGTGGATATTGTCTTCATTCTCATCGTCCTCCTCGGCTTGGTCCTCAGCGTCACGCCTGACTGTGACTCTACTCCACAGTGGGCTGATGCGGATCCGTGAGCGCAGGTTGATGACAGACATGCTCTTACCGCGGTTGGCCCGAGCCTCCAGTGCTCTCTCCCTGGCTTCCCCCTCCTCCGCCTCGTCCAGGAAGTTACACAGAACGGAACGGAACAGACGAGACACCTCAGTCACCTCTGGCTCTACCTCTGTCATCACTTTCCTCAGCCTAAACAAAAGTAGATTATTGCTCAAAGATATAGTTCCTTTTGGCTCAAGTTTTGTTTTAATCATGCATTCGTCCAACATTATTGTCCATACAAGTTATTCTGAATGTTTTGGAGTAACTTTACAACAGTTTGCCTTAACTAGCTGATGGCAAACTTTTGAGTGGTTTAAAACATACATAGATCTTTTCATGCAAAGGATTTGACAAAAATGTTGACCTGGTTTTAAATAGTACAATTTAAAACAATTGATATATTATTCAAAATTAAGGGGAAAAAAAGCTATTAAGACACTGTCTGGCTAACTTAGTGGAAAATGTCCTCTGATATGAAAACCGACATCACTATTAAAATTAGTTATAGTTATTAGTTGCAGATCACTTGATTTAAAGGGGTCATATGATGCTGCTAAAAAGAACATTATTTTCTGTATTTGGTGTAATGAAATGTGTTTATGCGGTTTAAAGTAAAAAAAAACACATTATTTTCCACATACAGGTGCATCTCAATAAATTAGAAAAATTGAAATCGCATCATATGACCCCTTAAATAATTTGTTGCTATAATGTAAATTTTTCAACGCAACAGTTTTGTTTTGTTGCAAGCCAATGTGAAATTTTTTTTTTTTTGGTATGATTTTGTATTTTTTATGTGTTTTCATGTCGTGCAGCTGATGAGGGAAGGTTACTACAGAAAAGGTAGGCTGTTGAATTTTTTTTTTTGTCAATTTAGCATTTCAGTAAAAATGTTTTGTTGCATTCCAATGTGATTTTTACTAGACCGTAACGTAATCAATTACATACATATTTCAGATAATGTAATCATTGATTACTTTTAGATTACTTTTGACCTAACTTGTTTATTACATTGATTTAAATAGGATAATCTAGTACCATACTGATATAAAAATGCAAAGAAAATGTATTCCATTTGTTGTTATTGACAACATGAAGTACATTAAACATTACATTATCAAGGTTTCCAAAACTGGGGTTCGTAAAGGACTTGCAGGGGGTTCGTGAGTTTAATGAAAAGCAGATAATTACAAATGTATATAAAATGTATCACAATGTGTCATATAAAAAAAAAAAAAAAACATTTTAAAATAATATCAATCAAAATAAAATACTCACTAAAAAATTTAATAATTTATTTGTTTACCTGCTTTTCAAGTGACCATTAACCAGTGTCAGAGAACAGTGAACATGCAAATGTGATACTTAATTGTTAAAATATTTATTTAAAAATCTCTGGGGTACTTCAAGTAAAGATATTAGCTGAAAGATGTTTGGCTGACAAAAAAAGTTGAGGAATTCTTGCATTACATGTGTTACATGAACTGCATTACATGAATTTGTGCATTTTAATGTGTTTGAAAGACAAAAGAGTTCCAAAGCTATAGTAATACATGGTTAAATAACCTACCGAGTGATAATTCAAATAAAACTGAATGTGTTCATTAGTAGTTGAAAATGCTGAAATGTTGAGAAAACACTTCTTAAAACGGAAATGATTTTTGTAAATCCAGTGTTCAAATGTTGTGTGCCCTCTCAATTTTCTGTGTAATTATAGCCACTCGACTAGTGACTGGTCTTTGTGTGAATGTCCACAAAATTGGAAGATTTTCTGAATAAGCGGAAGGCTATTTTAGACAGGAAAATTAAAAAGATGAAAAAGAAGAATTAGGGAGAATCAATAAATTATTGCTGTTGTGTGAATAATATGTAATCAATAAAAAAGTAACTGTAGTCTGATTCAGAGTATTTTAAAATGTAATTTAATCTAATTACAAGTACTTAATTTTTGCAATATGATTACGTAATCCAGATCACATGTAATCAGTTACTACCCTGCTCTGCGTGTCGCTAAGGATGGGAGGAAATATGTTAGTCTGCTTAAACACTTTTAAAGTAAGTTAAACAGTAGCCACGAAACGTTTGTTCTAAGCCCATATCAGTGCTGGATAGATTAGTTGCAATTTGTAGTCTGTTAATGATTCCAAATTACATAACAAAAATTGTAGATAGTAATGTTACACATTTGAGGTAATATAATTAGACTACTTTTTGATTACTTTTGACTTAACTCGTTCATCACATTGATTTAAATAAAATTAAAAAAAGGCAGAGTTGAACCAACTCCAGGACAAGTACCCTAATGTTTAGCCTAATAACTTCACGCATACCAAACCCATCTTTTCTAGGCAAGTACCAGATATGGGTATCATGTCATATACTTTATACATGGTATCACATCATGTCAGTACTTTAATACAACTCAGTTTGTATTTAATGTGATCACAATTTAATAAAACACAACAACGAGCAACTGAAGGTGAACTATAAAGTCTATTGCGAGTTGAAACACTCTGAAAAAACACTCCTGTTATAAACACTGAAGGTGTCTACACTGTGAAATTAATCTCTAACTTAGGCTACACTGTACGTATATCAGCACTTTGTTCTTTATGATGAGAGAAATCGTGAGAGTGCAGAATTCAGTCAGCAGGCGTGCACACTGAAGAAGTCTCCGGCGTTTCAGCGATGACTCATCTGAACGCCTCTGATTGGCCAGATGATACGCAGTTCGGCGTACATATAATACACACCTACTCCACACCCAAACACAACCTTACACAAACCTGTGTAATTTTTTTTTCTGTGAAACAAAAGTTAAACGTGTCCAGAATAGTTATCATAGTTTTAGTGACAATAACATCAATTATAAACCAAGTATGAAAAATGTCCAGAGTTTTCATGTTATTAGATTTTTAACAAAAATGTAATTTGTACCAAGGGGGCATTTTGCCCCACAGGTAAGTTAAAATGCCCCCACAGGTGGGGTAAAATGCCCTCAGTCTGGCAAAGCTATTTACTTTATACATTTACAGCAAAATCAGAGTACAGGCAGGTTTAGCTTAAAATGAAAAAGAATATAATCAATAATTATGCATTACAAAATTAAAAATATTATTAGCTGAGGACTGGTGGGCGGGTGCACTGGGCAGAATACATTCTAGTACAATTTGTGCACGTTTTGGCCTCATACAATTTAAAGTACTACACAGAATAAATTTTTCCAAGGCCAGGTTATCTGAAATATTTCCTAATATTGAAGACAGATGTGACAGATGTCATGCTTCTTTGTGCAATTTGAGTCATATGTTTTTTACTTGTCCTATGTTGCAAAATTTTTGGGTCAGTTATTTTACAACTATGTCTAAAGTGTTAAAAGTTACTTGATGTTTGCCCCGCTATAGCAATCTTTGGGATACCAAAAATTTGGTCTCAGTTTAATTAAAAACAACTGGATATTATATCCTTTACTTCTTTGTTAGCTAGGCGCCGTATTCTGCTCCACTGGAAATCTAATAAGCCCCCAACAACCTCCCAATGGCTAGTGGATACCATGTTTTTTTTTTTTTTTGAAACTGGAAAAAGTAAGATGTTCTGGGAAAAGTAATTTCTTCAATAAATGCCGTGTCCCTTTATAGCTTACTTCAAGTCTCTTATTATTCTACCTCCTGGTTAATATATGATAATGTATATATATATTGTATTAAGTATATGTTGTATTTTATCTATTTTGTATTACAATGACTACTATTTTCTATAATTAGTTGTATTATTTATTTTATGATCGTTTTGTAGTTATTTTATTTATTTACATTTTTTCCCCGTTCTAATTCTTTCTTTTTTTCTCTCTTTTTTTAATTGGTTATGTATTATGTTTGGGTTTGGTCTTAAAATGTTAAAAAAATTTGTCATCTATTTTCTAAAAGTTTGAACATAAAAATATTATTAGCTGATGCTAACTAGCTAGCTAACTTGCTACCTGATGCTAACTTGAGGTCATTTTTAAATATAAAGTCCAAATATTTTTATTCAACTAACTACAATACATTTGATGGATAAACAAAGGATTTGAGGTTCAGAACAGAGTAACTACAGTAATTAAGCCGTGCCCCTGGGGGCATTTTACCCCAAAGACTAGTTTTGAAAAAAAAGAATTGTCATTCTGAAAATATAATTAGGCTATATTTTTCTTAAATAACATGTACTCTTTATCTACAGGCCTTACTATTCTCATATCATATATAATTGTGATGTTCTACAAAACAATAAGCTTTAAAATACTTTTACCGACAGAAGTTTCTTCTTAAAAATCACTTAAAGTAACGTTAACCGATCATTGACAAACCGCATGTTGCGGTCTCTGAGATCTAGCATTGTTAACCAAAGTCTAGCCTGCTACTGACATAGGCCTACCTGAGAACGAGGGGACCGCATTGCGAGGGAGAGACCTTGGCACACAGATCCTGAAGCTCCAGTATCTCCCCAGCTGGTGGTTCTGGGAGAACACTGATGACCAGAGGAACATCTGAAATGGTAAAGAACTTGTAAGTGAACGAAAAACCAAACATACAGTGATTATTTGTGCACCAAAGCCCATTGATTTCAGAAAAAGGTCCACTCTAGTCCCAAAATATGTCATAAATTATAAAAGGCACATAAATTACATATGGTTCAAGATTTATGGCACTTACCTTCTCCTAAATGTGCAAAGGGTTGGTTATATTCCCACTGGACCTTTCCATCAAATTAGTCTGAAATATTTATGTAGGACCGCACGTGTATTTACCACATGGCAGTTAGTTCTGTCCTCAACACCAGATAAAGAGCTAAAGATAATCCCTTATTATTATAATCTACAGCAGAGCCACATTTCAGTGGTTCATCACTGGGAAAGGAAAAAACAATTTAGTCAAAGTAAACTATCCTTCCAAACATACAAACCAATTTGAACGCAAACTGTGCTGGTCGATGTCCAGCTTAGTCATTCTGATGAAATACTCTGTATTAATAGGATTATTCCTTTTAAGGGTTACACAACAGAATTAGATCCCAATCCTGTCTCAACAAACACTGCTAAGGCCCCCTGCTGTCCATTTGTAGGCGGACAAAATATGAAATCAGATTAGTAACAGAGAAAATACAAAATCTTATTTGCAGTTCTCATGTTTCAGACATGTCTGAAACCTTATTCATCCCATTTCCCTTGAAGAAACTGAAGTTGTAGAAGAGTATGACATAATGCTAATATTTGTCAGAACTTGACTTTCAAGCAGAAGAAGCTGGAGATCAAAGTTAAAAATTGATTTAATTTCTTGTCTTGTTATGATCCTAATACCAGTGAACTTCTCACTTTTATTCTTTGGCCTCCTGTCTCCTCACTCTTGTTAAAAGCCCAGGGAAATTGCTAGGATTAGATTAATGTGTAATGTAAGAGTTCTTAAGTACTGGTGTTCAGGGAAGAGCTGCCACTCAGCATGTATCTCTCAGTCTATAGGAATCAGAAAAAAGCCAACTCAGCTCGATTTTTCCCAATGATTTTGATATTCCTGTCATATCTGAACAAGTCCAGGAATGTGTGTTTTTAATGGATAAGAAATGGAGACCTTCTAAATTATCCATGGTTTAAAAAAAGGTTTATTTTTAATGCTTTTTATTTTTTTCTTATTCAAAATGTGCATATAGCAGTGGTTTCGTTTGCTTGACTGCTCAAAAATCATTTTAAAAACCACAATGAAAATACTTTTTTATTATTGAAAAGCTTTTCTTAATGGGACACAAGATTCAGTCCACATTCCCTTCTTCATTCTCATCTGCTTTTTTTTTCACATCCACTTCCATCTCTGCAAATTCAGTTCCTGCTAAAATACCCTTCCATTAGATTTCAATCAATTTTGCCGTTTTAAACCAGTGATTCCTCTCCCATCCGTTCTTCAAACACTCTGTTAGGCATTATCACATTGCTTTCTACAGTTACAGTTGCTAGTATGTCTCTGTCATATTTTATCTTTAAATGTTTCAGTGTGGCCTTTAATGTGAAAATGATATCAAAACACATTAGGAAAAGGAAACTAGTAACTTCAACCCAAGAAAAAAGAACTGTGTTTTTAAGAATTAATCTGTCATGAAATGAGTGACAGATCTTATCTGGAGGGAAGTGATCTCTCTAAACATTTTTTTAACAGATAATTTAACAGGAAAATTATTCGTACAACATTTTCTCTGTAATTCAAAGGATGGAATAAGAAATGATTGAAAATTGGATTTGGATTTAATGCATTATTATTATTATTATTATTACACCCAATTCTCCAAACAAATAAATGTCTCTGCTTATTGATAAATGTTTATTGTAACTAATGTGACTAATGTGACTTTAAAATATTAGAAATGAGGAATTATCAAAAAACAAACAGACACTCCCACATATACTAAATGATATAAAAATCTTTTAAATAATTTTAAATTAAATAATCTAAATTTAATTATTCAGTTGTTCATTTTTTTACAATCCTTTTAAACTTTTTCACATAACCTTATTATTGTCTCCACCAGACTTACAAACAAACATCCCTTCCTTCCTGATCAGATTTTATATTTATCCCCAGTATGTTGTCGCCATAAATCTCTCATATGCATCTGCTCAGGGCGCGGCTCTGATTTGTCCCGGCTTGCCTTTGAGCAATACAAATCCTCCACTGCTTGTGGAGCCCAGCCAAGAATTTGAGAAGGTGATCCAGAACCTCTCTCACAAATTACACTGCGGGATCAAAGTGGGTATAAAAGTCTATTTAGAGAGTGCAAAATGAATCAAAGTCCCGGTGTAGATGTGTCAGATGGCATATGAGGTCTATATCTATGTACGTTGTTTGAGAAACAGAAGTCAGACTTGACAGCGCAGCAGATTGATTGGTACTGAGGTGTACGTTTGCTGTTACCTACACTATTCAAGTGTGTTGGGCAGAAATCATTCTCCCTGAGAGAGAAATAGACAGAGAGGCCTTAAAGGGGTCATATGATGCGATTTCAAGTTTTCCTTTCTCTTTGGAGTGTTACAAGCTGTTCGTGAATAGATAAGATCCCTAAAGTTGCAAAGACTAAAGTCTCAAACCCAAAGAGATATTCTTTATAAAAGTTAAGACTCGTCCATGCCTTCCTAAAACGCCTCGTTTAAACACGCCCCCACATGTCTATGTCACGATGTGGGAAGATTTGCATAACGC